TCAAAACTGGCTCAATATCAAAGGCATCGTATGGCTGAAAATTATTTAGTCATCTGGGTCGATGAAAATATCGACATGGCAAATCAAGATTGCCAAAATACAATGGAACAATTACGTGCTGTCGTCAATCAAGTTAATCCATGTAAGACAGCTGAACAATGTGTACAAATGCTTATGGAAAATCAAGAGGAGATCTCATTCGTTATCTCCTCAGGTGCAATTGGACAACATTTGGTACCAGATATTCATGATATGGCAAAATTAAATGCCATTTTTATTTTTTGTGGCAATAAACAACGGCATCAAGTATGGGCGCAAAATTGGCCGAAAATTAAAGGTGTTCACACCTCAATCACACATATTTGTGACAAATTGGCAACAGCAATCAAACAATACAATCAAGATCACATGTCGGTGAGCATTGTTAGTGTGAATGTAGGAGGTTCTAGCAAGAATCTAGATCAGCTAGAACCTTCTTTTATGTATTCGCAAATATTCAAGGAAATACTCCTTGAAATCGAACATGAACAACAAGCCGTCCAAGATTTGGTCACGTACTGTCAACAAGAATACCAAGACAATAAGAAGGAAATGAAAATTATCCAAGAATTTCAACGTACTTATCAAGCCTCCAACGCCATTTGGTGGTATACACGCCAATGCTTCACCTACAAAATGCTGAATGGCGCATTAAGAACACTCAATGGCGACATTATGATCCGAATGGGTTTTTTCCTGTGTGATCTCCATCATCAAATCGAAACCTTGTACAAGAATCAGGTCAGTCAATACCATAACAAGATTCTTGCAATCTTTCGAGGGCAAGGCCTATCGAAAGCAGATTTTGAAAAGCTCGCAGAAAACAAAGATGGGCTTATTTCTTTTAACAACTTTTTATCTACCAGCCCAAATTCAGATGTCTCCCTTGTTTTCGCCAAAGAAGCCTTGAAAATAACTGATATGGTTGGAATTCTATTCCAAATAACCATTGATCCTACAGTATCATCAACTCCATTCGCCTCCATTCGAGAGGTGAGCTATTATAAGCAAGAAGAGGAAATTCTCTTCTCCATGCACACCGTCTTTCGCATTGGTGAAGTGCAAAAAATTGACAACAATCATGCACTTTATCAAGTCGATCTTCCACTTACGTCAGATGATGATCCACAACTTCGAGAATTAACTGACTTTATACGAAAAGAGGTCAGCGGCATTGGGTGGCGTCGAATGGGTAAATTGTTACTCAAAATAGGTCAATTCGACAAGGCCGAAGAACTATATATGGCACTACTAGAACAGGCATCGGATGATAGTGATAGAGCATACATCCATCACCAGCTTGGACTGATGAAACGAAACCAAGGACAATACGAAGAAGCAGTTGCATTTTACGAACAATCTCTGAAAATCGAGCAGAAAACTCTTCCGAAAGATGATCCTTCATTAGCTCCTACGTACAATAATATTGCTCTAGTGTATAACGACATGGGTGACTACTCGAAAGCATTGGACTTTTACGAAAAATCACATCAAATCTACGAAAAAGCTCTGCCTTCGAATCATCCCTCATTGGCTACTTCATACAACAACATCGGTCTAGTGTATAATAACATTGGTGACTACTCGAAAGCACTTGAATTTTACGACAAATCGCATAAAATCCTTGAAAAAGCTCTGCCTTCGAATCATCCTGATTTGGCTAAGTCCTACAACAATATCGGTCAAGTGTACAACAATTTGGGTGACTACTCCAAAGCTCTTGAAATCTATGAAAAAGATCTCCAAATTAGGAAGAAAGCTCTCCCTCCAACACATCCTGATTTGGCTATTCCCTACAGTACAATCGGTCAAGTGTATAATAACATGGGTGATTATTCGAAAGCACTTGAATTTTACGAAAAATCACATCAAATCTACGAAAA